CGCTCGTGCCAGATCACCCCGACATCGGGCATGCGAAAACGCAAAGAACACATTGTTTGGTGCCAGAAGAAGTCCTCCACCGTGGCAACTAGATTACAGAGAGGTGGTGCGGCAGGTGATCCCATAGCGACTCCACGTTCTTGCCGGAACAAGTAACCATTGATCTCGAAGTGACTGTTGTCAATGACAAAGTCGAGGAGGTAACGAAGGTCTTGTTCACGAAAAGTTCGAGGGACCTTCGTTTGACGGCGCCATTTGCCTTTGAACATACGGCGTCGATCGTCTGACTTCAATTCGTACACCGACCATTGTGAGGATCTGCGAAGGCCAACTACTTGATCATAACGATGAAGAAGCACCTGTAGTGCCTGATGGAAACGCTTCGTAGGAATGGATGTGAAGAAACCGGACAGGTCCTGAGACACCAGGTGGATGTATTCGGCGGGATCTGCCTTTGACAGTGCGTCCCAGAGCTGTTGGACAAGTTCTTGGACCGAAAGCTGTCCTGGTATGTCGGGAAAGGTAACTTTGGTAAGTTCAAAGATGAGGGCGCCGAAGACCGTGAGGAAGGGAGCTGCCCACGTGCGAAAGAAAGAAATGATGGGTCTTGCTTTCTGCCAATCCTTGGTCGGCTTTGGAAGGATGCGAGCTGTGGGCAACGGTGCTTGAAGACGAAGTCCCCACGCGTAGCGCTGATGTAGGAGGGAAGGTATCGTAGTGACCACTTCAGAGCGAAAAGATGCTGCAGATTCACGGCAGAGCGAAAAGACTTCTCCGGAGCAAAAGGTCTTGTGCATCAGTATGGCGAACAACGAAGGGCAAATCACATGTGCACGAGAGGGAAAATGATCCGCAGGAATTACAACCCACGAGGACAAAGAGGCCACGGTTCGTTGTAGAGATGTAGATGACCAATAAGCTCGATCTTGAAGGTTAGATCGATGGGTATCCATCAACTGATTCAACACAGGCTGTAGATCAGTAAGAAGACTGGAGCCATGTACATGCCACCGACGAGCTAGTTTACGAAGCTGTGTGGTAAAACGCTGATGCAACAAGTCAACATCACCGAAATACTGATCCTTCATGGACGCGGCCATGATATCCATGTCGATGTCCGCATTGATGCGTGAGAACTCATCCACCATTACTGCATGTTCATGCGCACGATGAAGGCGGTGATCATCAATGTCCGAACAGCGACACGGAAAAGATACGTCAGGAGTCCATCTGCGTTGCCATGTGCGGTAGTTGTAGATCCTGTCTCCCAAAGTGGCGCTGCGAGTTTCCACCACCCGGATCTTTGGAAGAAATAGGGAGGGAAACAAGTCACGATGTGAAGCAACCCAACGTTGTAACCACGTGCCAAGTTGAGCTTTCCAATCCCGTACATGTAGAGGCGGTAGAAGCAGCTGTGTCAAAGTGCTTGGTGATTGGAGCTGTCGTTTGTGCAGCACCTGGGCGAGGAGTTTCTGTGTCTTGGAACGAAAGGGCTCGTTGACAAAGACCGAGAGTCGCAGGAAGTAGTATAGCTGAGTGGGAGGAAAAGCCGCCGACAGTAGGTCTCGCATGGCTTGGAACGATGCGCCTGTGTTGGATCCCAGCTGATAGAGAGTGGAGTAATGCGCTTGAATGTCATCCAACATTTCAGGTCGTAATTGCCGTTGAAGATCCGGATGTAGTCTTCGTCGAAACCGTTTGTGTAGACCAAGCGAGGTGGGAGACGACAACGAATGACGCCGAAAGTCAACGAGATGCTCCCGGAAGCCCACCTTTCGAAGAAGTCTATGTACCCAGGGCGCATTCAATTGCGGACGCAGCAGGTATTGCCACTTGCTTTCCTGGACCCAAACCGAGGAAATGGGGAGTTTGATCTCAACCGGAATGGCACAGAAAAGCCAGTAAGTGTTGGAGCGCTTCCAGTAGTGAAGTGCAGGTTCGAAGAAGGCATGACGTCCCCGAAGTAGTTGTAGAAATTTGCGACTGCGTGAGTGTTCACGTCGTAGAACGTCCTGATCAGTCGCACCAACGTAGTATGGCGTGTGCCATGGAGAGAGTCGGATGTAAACGCAAGGTTGTTGATGATGACCTGGATCGTGAATGAAGTCATAGAGGTCTGGAAACCGTGTCCGTAATGAGCGAAGATGTCTTGTGTCTGCAAAAGTGGAATGCATAATTTCGCACAACAGAGATGTCTTGTAGAAGTGAAGAACCTGGAAGAACGGTGGGACATATCCATGATCTTGAGAAATGAGACGCTGCAAGAAACTGATCAATAAATAGGCTGCGCACCGGCACCTGTGAAGTTCATATCTGTTGGCCACAGTGTGTTGAGATTGTGACATGGCGTGAGTCGGAATCTGAAGTGCAATCCGGACCACAACTAATACTTCCAGAATGAGGCCCAACCAAGGCAATTGTGTAACTGACTCGTATTCATCTGCTGGTATCGATGGTGGTGGTAGTCCAGGAAAGCAGTATTGCCAGCACGTAGAGAACATTGTCAACGAGTGTAGAAAGGTGTCCAGAGAATGCCATTGTGCAACATCATCATAGATTCCACAGCGGCGAAGCTCAGCCAACATGTTGAACATGCAACCAATGAAATCTACAGTGTGGCGGCGACATGAATGCAAGCGGCAATGAATATCAAGCAAATGACAACGCAAGCACAGACAAGCGCATCATCAAACAAGTGCAAAGCAAGAAGATGACGGACGAGTTTTGAACTTTTCCTCAACCATGACACAGCTGCCGCTCCGGGCTCATAAGTGAACGAAGTTCGTCAAGAGGGACTGCTCACCCACTGAGTAAGCGGGCTGTCACGATGAGGTGACTCAGCGCCTTGTCAGTGAGCTTGGTGAGGTAGTCGGGCTCCAGTCCCCACAGAGCCGCCATCGCCCCAAGCGTAGGTGCGTCTTTTTTGGCATGCGTTGACGCGCCTGAAGGAGTTGCGTCGCCATGGAATCCAAGGACTTGTTGCCGTTGAGACGAGACGGGTGATTGGCCCACTTGACCAATGACGCCAAAGTGGTGGTTGTGGGCGATTGCTTGAGATACAAGCGTGGCTGATCACTGGTCCATGTGTAGTACTTGATGACGTCATCCGGCGTGCTGTGCATGGTGAGCAATTGTGACACCGCCGGCTTGGAAGGCGGTGAAGAAACTCCGTGTAGAGACTGAATGATCCGGGGTTGCACCGCGCCATCAAACGACTTGCCATCAAGGGCTGCTGCGCTAGCCGTAGGGAGGGAGCTGGGAGGTGACGAAGATTGCGTGTGGTTGACCAGTGGTGGTGTAACCAACTCTGCATCATCCTTCTGGCTTGGCACCGTGGGAGAAGTCGAAGCACGTAACGATGCTGAATACTGAGCCTGGAGCAACTCATGAGCACGATTTAGATCATTGTACTTCTTGACCATGTCATCCGTCTGAGTAGAAGGCGTGAGAGTTGCGTGGTGTTGCTGAAGAAACTGAAGTACCAAGTTGGCCAAATGATCATGAACCTTGATCCGCTGATTGAAGTCGTCGAGGTTGAGCCCCAGTGAGTTAGCAAGATCCTTTTCCAAGGTAAGCAGGTTGATCGACTGTGATCGTCGTAGTAGTTTGGAACAAGTGCTCCAAAGTAAGGCCTCGGTGCGAGTGGGAAAGCCTTCCCACGTCACGAATCTGCCGTGAGCAAACGGCCGGAGCAGCCAGTTGGTGAGGCCTCCATGAATGACCTGAACCAGGCGAACGTCACGAATGTCCATGCCGGACATGTCACGTAGGTTGTTGTGCGGGGTGTTGGCGACCGTCGTGGGCAGGCTGAAGTTGTAGAGCTGGTTGATATCTAGCATGCCATCCCCAGGTGTCCAGTCCGCCGATGGAGTAAGCCAGGCTTTCTGAGGTCGAACCGGTAGGGCTGCAGGGTATCCAGGTGGTGGTGTAGCTTGCGAGGGGGTAACCGGTGGCGGCATCACGGGCGTCATGAACTTCGGTGGCGTGGGCTCTGGAGGGACTGGCATCATGTAGTTGATCGGTGAATGGTGGAACTGCTGCGTGGGGTTTGGAATCGATTGGTAATTGGTCTGCATCACCGGGAAATTGTTGGCGGAGTTGTAGCCGGAATTGTGTTGCCAGGATACCAGGTTGTTCCAATCCATGCCTTCCGAGACCTGGTTGTCATTGTGTTCGTGTCGGCGTGCTTTACGAGCTTGAGGGGAAGGACTCCGATCACGTCTGCGCCGAGTCCTGGATCTGTCACGATCATCACGTCGAGACATGGTGGCGCAACCAACGTACAACCGTCACACTTCACCCTTGAGAGAAGCAAATCCGACAAAATGCAAGGCAATGCAAGTTCAAGTCAGCGGCCATCGGATAAGGTTCGGCTGGCAGGTCACTTGGCTTCCCTCTAGTGTCGAAAACGTTACGAGGTTCAACATGAAGCACACACAGCGAGAGAAACAGCGGGCCAAAAGGACTTTGCACAACCGTTGCAGGTACACAATCCAGCGTCCCGGATTGCATCACACTTCTCATCGGGCGTCTTCGTTGGCCTGAGTCCTGATGAGAAGCCTCAAGCCCCCTGCTGAGAATCGGAAAAGGTGGCGACAGGGTGAATCTGTCGCTCCGCACACACACACACACCCATGCACCCACGCACGCACGCACGCAGGCACGCACGCGCGCACGCACACTCATACGCATGTCCAGTTTGCCAACTGCAGCGTTTTCTTCAGTCAGACGCCAAAGGAAGCCAACGCTTGTCAATTGTGCAGTCATGACTTCGGCAATCAGCAACTGACACGACAACCTCCGCTCCGCGCGCAAGTTGCGCGCAAGCATGACACGCCCCAGCAAGCAGCAAGACATCTAGCCATTTGCTGTCTCGGATGTCCTTAGCGGCGCTGTTCAAGCATTTGCCAGCTTCAAGGAGCCTTCCACTGTTTATGACGCGCTCGGGCGTGAATCTTTCCCCAGCTTTCAGCCCAGAAGCCTCGGGCGCACTGTCCGAGGCTTCTTGTTCGAAGCTTACATCGCTTTCTGCCTTTTCGCTGCCTTGGCCTTAGAAGTTTGGATTGCTTGTTCTGCATGTCGTTAGAATCATGGGCGCCATGCGCAGCATGACGGGCGCAGCTTCAGATGAGGTCCTGAACGTTATGACTGGGGTTTTCTGCCAGAGTGCGATGGATAGCCCTGGCCTTAGCATTGGGCATTGCAGTTGGTTCTTATTGGTGAGTGCAAAGCGAGTCCCTGCAGTCGCGTGAATGTGTCTTATCTTGTTCGGCGCGTTTTGTCTAGGTGCTGAAAAGGATCACGAGTTGGTGCTGCAGAACGTGGTGCAGGAAAAGGCCAAATATTTCAGAGCCGTCCGGCGTCTCTTTACACAGCAACTTGGCTTCCGATTATTCATTTGTTTGCGTTCCTCACTTTTTGCATTTTGGCAAACCGTTTTAGTGACACAATTTCGGGGATTCTTGGGCCCATGCACGTAGGACATGAGATTCCATTGTTTTTCAAGTTGCTGTCAAGTTTTTGCGCCCGTGTTGTGCCAAGCAAAGCCACATCCAAGGTTGGACAAGAACGCTGATGGCGATGTCACAGCGGCAGAGTTTGAGGCCACTTGGTGCATCATGCCTACCCCTTGCAGATTCACATGGAAGCCAAGAAACCGTCATCTTTTGGGCAACCTCCTTTTGGGATACCCTCTTTCGGGATTCCATGTTGATTTGCGAGGGTCCGCGTGACCCTCAGAGTTCAACAAGGATAGAGCATCTTTTGACACATGCGTGTGGCGTGAACAGCAATCCAGTATGCCACGGCAACAAAAAGGTGGACAAATGATGCCCTTCTTCGCTTGCAGCTCCGAACGCATGGAATGATGAATGACATCCCTACTGTATATATATTTAGAGTTGTTTAGTGTCCTTGTTACCCAGAGCCCGGCTATCCATTGGGCAACACAAGCAGACAAGCAAATTCTTCGGTTGCAGTCCGCCTCGAACCGCAGCTTGCCATCAACGACCCGTCCCTGCGTTCCGTCTTCGACGCCCTCGAGATCAATGCTGCGGACGCCTGGGCGTTATTCCAGCAGTTGGACAGCGCGCCTCGGCGGGCGATGCTGAAATGGTGTTATTGGGTGCATTTTGCTTGTATGCTAGGACTCAGGACTGTAACTTTTTGCCAACCAATGGGGGTGTTCCATTAAACCACTAAAAGTTAAACTTTGAGCAGGGGAGCAGAAAGCAAAAGAGGGTTGCTGTTGCTGTTGCTACAAAAGGTTAAACTGTTGCTCTGTGTTTGACGCTTGTCGTTGTTGGTGTTTTCAATCCGCGGCTTAGAGGCTGCGCACAGACAGCTTGGTGCTTGGGGGCAACTTGTTTATCCTTGTTGTGAGCATGGATTGTTTTGCTTGTGTGCGTGTTTTTCTTTTCTTTTTTTGTGTCCGGGTTGCTGTGGGTTTCGTTTGGTTTCCATGTTTCGTATTTGCGGATTTGGTTCTCTTTCCCAGGACGGCAACCACCATGTGGACGTAGACGAGTTCTTGGAAGGCTCGGTGCGCTTTGCCGGGCGGGTCCGGAATCGAAAGATGGGAGGGGCCTTGAACCAAATGGGCGCGATTTGTTTTGGCGGGACCTTTGGGTGGACATCATTTGCAGTTAATCTTCACCATTTGAAGGTGGTTCCCTATTGAAATTCAGGCCAAATGGGGCTGCAGGGCGCTCAAAACCCTAATTTGAGACTCCGGCCTTGGCCTGAAACTTGAATTGCCCTCGACGTAGCCTTCTGCAGCTGAGCGGCACCCTTCCTTGGTAGGCTTGGTTTCTTAGGACACTTTTGGGCCAAACAAAATCACTTCTACTGGCTTCCATTTGACACCATGTAGCCCCAAAGCAACTCGGGCCCAAATGCCGGGGTCTTCAATCAACTTTGTATGGGGAACCGGGGACTGACTCCTGCCCCAGACTTCATGACCATGCTTACAACCTAAGCTGGTGGCTATCCAAGTGCCCGTTTGCCCCTGATCTGCAAAGAGGACATGGCAGGCACAAGACCTCAGACCTAAGCTCTTGGGAGGGTCTTGGTTTCCCCTTGAGGCTATCCAAAGAGGAAGGTTCTCGTTTTGGGGACCGAGCCTCGCCAAAAGCCACAGCCCGTGAGCTTGCAAGAAGTGCCTGTAGTGAGCGCCCAAAGCCGATTCCTAGCCATTGTTAAGTGGCTGGTTCCTAGCTAAAGGGGCTATAGCTACTGTGTTGGTAGAACCAAAAAGCAATTGGGTTTTGGCGTTCCATTTAACCCAACTCAAACCTAGGGCGTCTCCCAAGATGGGAAGTCTACCCAGTAAAACATGGGATGCCCACAGAACTGGGGTCTCCTCCTTTCTTTTTTACAAATATTGGGGTAGACTGGACCGTAACCAATTTTCTGCGTCCCATGGATTTGGGGCCAAGAAAACGACAAGATGGGCGTTTTGCTTGCAGGCTGCATGTTGCTCAAGGGCCCCGCCCGGTCCATCGACGTGGGGGCACCCAATCACCGGTCGTTCGAGGTCGAAAGGGACACCGCATTCTTGTACTTCCGTAAAACACCGGTGCCTTCTCACCGACAAAATCCTGCACCTTTGGTAGGTGGTTTATCCCAGTACTTGTTGGGTTTCATCCATGCAAACTGGTGTAGGATTTTGTTCATCCATAGTAGCCCACGATGTTTAGTTTCCCCAAAGGGAACCAACAGGAGCATTATTTTTCCGGTCCCTCTATTTAGCACCCGGTTTTGCTAAGTGGGTGAAAAAAAGTGGGGGGACCCCTGAAAACATGGGCTGATTTTGTTTGTTTTTGGGGGGAGGGGGTTAGGTGGCCGCTTTCTGTGAGCGGCCAAAGAACCCGGGATGAGAATCCCAGCTTGGTATCGCAGAGAGGGCTATGTTTGACAACATAGTTTTTGCCCATGCCAAGGGGAAGCAACACAGACGTGTGTGTGTGTGTGTGTTTCTCAACATGAGAAGCTTTTCCAAATATTTTTTAGATGCCCTCCTAGGTAGGTACCCCGCCTCTTTAGGCTTTTGGATGCCTTAGCCTTAGCCTTGCGAGAGCACATACCAGTGCGGGGAGAGATATAGCAGGGAAGAGCGCAGCCTAGGTGGCTCCCTTTTTCCAGAGGGGCTAGCATGACCTCCCCATGTAACTTTGATCATCCTCTTTGTTTCCAGATAGAACTCGAATAGCGCCATCTACTTTCCGCTCTGTATTTCTGCAAGATGCACTGTTGGCCGTATGAGCCGTCTTCTTTGGTTGTTTTTGTCCACAACATGTTGGTAGCATGTTCCGCCGTGTTACCAGTTACTCCCCCCCCAAATTCAAACGTGAAAAAGAAAAGGAACAAAACACACACAACAACAAGGGGTTGTGTTGAGCGTGAGGTGTAGGTGACCCATGCTGGTTCCAGCCACGAGTTTTTGTGCCATAGGCAAATGATTTACGCAAAACCAGACCAGGTTGGAAAGCCGGCACTTTGGGTCCAAAGCTGAATGGTGACACATCTCCAAGGTTTAAAGGGGGTGGAATTCGCAGCAAGGCAGAGAGGGACCTGATTGAAGTCCAGTTGTGTACTCGTGCCTCGCGAGCTATTTGGCCACTTTTGGTGTCTAAATTCACTGTGAGCTGGTGCGCACATGGAATTGTCATGGCAGCCGAGGATTGATATAACCCGATTTCATGGAATCCTAAGTTTGTCGAGCCGCCCCGCAATATTGACCCAGGTTATTCAAAGCATCGACACATCGAGCACGGAGCAGAAACTGAAGTCCACGGAGCCCATGCGCACATTTGTCAGACCCCCCCAGGATGAACGTGTGGCAGGTTTCCGTTGCTTGGGGTCCGAAACCTGCAGATACCCGACAGGATTCCGCTTGAGAACAACCGAGTGAGCTTGTTGCCTGGTAACTGGGGTCTTCGCCAAAGCGCTGGTGATTTTAGCTACAGACAGAATCTGAGCATGTTATTCTGGGAGCCCAGGTGGGTAGATGCATCCTAAACAGTAGAATCATCCAGAGTCAGTTGAAATTACACCAATTGCCCAAAAGGATCACATTCATCGTCACCCGCAAAAGGATCACGTTCGTCGTCACCCGCAATTGAGGTAACCCCCCACTGCCCAAAATGATGATTGCTTTCATCGTGCAAGGGAACGCACAACCAAAGTGGAAACAACAACAGAACGGGATGACTAAGACGAGTGAAAGCTGTTTCAAACTACCGACAACCTTGTCATTTGCAGCTGCAGACGCATCATGTTCTTGTAAAACAAGCGGACACATGATGCTACGCGCTAATATGATGTTTTCATTCTTCTCTTGAACTGCGAGTGATCCCTTCAAAGAGCCAGCCCGAGCCCAAAATGCCACTGCGCAGCCCCGTAATGAAGTCATTGCTCCTCCCAAGCCACTTCTCTGGAATGGTGCTAAACGACCCGTGGTCACACTGCCTTCCCCATGGTTGTCAGGGGGCCCCCAAAGAGCAACCCTATGGCAGTCGCTATTGGCCCCTATTGGGATTGGGGTCCCTTGAAACCATAGGAACCTCCTGCACGAAGATTCCTTCCCTTCCTTAAAAATTGGGAGATTTGGGTTTGCTCCAGGTGGTGTGCATCAAGCGCGACGTGGCCGGCCTGCGTATGAGGATTGACAATCAGGCGGTTGCCGATTTCCCAATGAACGTGGCAGTCAAAACCCGGGTACTTGGGCGTTTAGCCAACTTAGTAGGGTATAGCCTTATAGCCCCAGATATATCCAGGGTTCTAAGGGGCCATCTCACTTGCCCCAGATTTGCTATGGTTAGTAGGGATCCCCAGTTGGCCCAAATTCAAAAAAGGGTTGTAAGGGTACTATAACCCAGTTGCTCCTGATATAGCCAACTCAGTTGGTTGAAGTTCGAATTTATGTAAGTGAGCAAACATAGATGGGTCCTCAGATAGGTGCTGGCGCACTACTTGATTCGCTACATGATATCGAGCATACCATTGTAATACCAGGTTTGATTATGACTCATGGGACTTCAGTCTTTGGCTAGGTTCGCTCAGGCTTGTGCGTGCCACAGGACGGGCGATTCACACAATCCGACGTGACTGATACAGCACGAAAGTAGATGGCACCATTCCCTTTATGGCCGCAAGAAAAGAAGATGATCAATCCTGAATTGGGGAGCTTGTGGCATCTTGTTTCACCTGGCTGTCATTGAAAGAAACGAAGCAATACTGCGGGTTGAAAGCCAAGTGAATCTATGCTACACAGGCGACCTGTGATGACGTCAGCTTCCAAGCAACCTTCCCGTGGGGTGAGGGGAGGGGGCTTGGGTATTTCCTCACATTCTAACTTGCTGTTGGGTGTTAGCTTTAGTACCCTATGAAAACGGTACTGCAAAACCAGGATCGCGACCATGACTGGCGAACAAAGGCGTCCTCAAACCATGGCGGAGAATGTCGAAAATATAGTGGATGGACAAAATCCTGCAGGGGGGTTCGTCCCAGTTTCCCACAATGTCATCCATCCCAACTGGTGCAGGAGTTTGTCACAGTAAGCGCCCCTTTTTAAGACCCCCTTGGCAGGGTGGCTACTGGTTGGGAGGTTGTGCCCCACGAACGCATTGCCCCTCGTGGGTTAGAGGAAAGCGATTCGCGGCGACTTTGTTTGCTGATCTTGCCAGAGGGGCTTGCAAGGCCATGAAGAAGCTTCTTGTCTAGGGCTGACCCTTTTTGCGATTAGTGTCTGATCAACTGAGAATGGTGCATTGAGTGACTGCATGGGAAGGATCGGGGGTTGTCCTCGCAGCGTGTTGGACCAGGTTTGAGCAGTTGCCCCTGCCACCAGCAAGAGCGGTCAGCAAATAGTCTTGTGTGCTAGCTCGCAGTAGGCGGGTTAGAGCCAACGGCTTGTTGCATCTCACCTGAAATAGACCGTGACGGGGTACAGACAAGGCCAACAAGCAAGGGGGTGTTGAATTGTGGGAAGCCACATTTTCCTTGGCCGAAGCATTCCTTTGCCTTACCGGACTTACTTCACCTGCTTGCCCTTTCGCCCTGGTGGGTTTCCTTCAGGCCTTAAGAAGCAAAATTGACGTACCAGCTTGCTTATCTCTGGGGCTTTCCGCTGGTCTATTTACTGGCTTATGGATTGATGTCCTATTTCTCCAGCCTTTGTTCTTCTCAAAAACGTTGCCAACCTGGGTTTGGATGGTTTTGGGGGTTGTTTGGACAGAAGGATACTTGGAAAGAATGGGTGAGCTACCCCTTGCATTTTGGAGAATGCTCCTTTTGGGGCTGTTTCAAGTAGAAGACAAAGGACACGTCGGGGGATTTATGGCGGTCCCTGCTTTGAGGCGAGCCTAGTTGTCAAAGCGAGTTGGACTCTTTCAGGGTGGCCCTTACCTCCAGGATGAAGCGTAAAAACATATTGCTTTTGGGCGTGCCTTGGTTGGGCTAAGACACATTCTGTCCAACGCGTATAGTCTAAACAACACATCCTGGGCCCGGGTTGGCACGTGTTCAAAGGGAAGTCCTGAAGAAATCAATCACGCAGGGCCCTCTGGTTGAATCGGCAAATTGAAGCCACCCGTCAAACCTGACGGACCCCCAAGTCCAAGTTGGCCTTCCCTCTGGGTGCGGGCCACATAGCCCACAATGTGTAATTCTCCACAGGGAAACCAAACAAGGACTGTGTTTTTCTTCCAGACCCTATGTAGCACGCAGCCCTGTTCGAGGGTTCCCTGAAACCGCCCAAAAAACAAGAACTATGGCTGGCTTTGTGACTGGGAAGGTACTGAACCAGAGTTCTCCACTTTCCCTTGGCAAGATGACCTCTTGCCAGATGACTTTGAGGTTCTATTTCCAGAACAAAACCTGGTTATTTCGGACTTCGGAAGTTTCCTTAGGGTTAATCTGAGGATGAAATAGGAAAGAGTGGGGTTGCCTCCAACCATATTTTCGCTTTAGGGTAGACAAAATATGAAACCACATCTCAACATCTTCTTTGCTGTGTACCGTAGATGTGAGTGTGTCTTGAAAGAGGTACCCCCAAAATGATGGTTTTCCTTTTGGTCTTCCCTGAAGATCCCAAAAACGGGGTTCCCCAAAGAAAGACAAGCCCATGTGGGCCAAGAGGTCCATAGATGAAGCCCTTCTGTCGATTCCCGCCAGGGCTTGGAGTTGGGGAAGCTGAGTAAGAACCTGCAAAAGCTCTGCGACGCTCTCAACCCGGCATCACGAGGAGAGCGGATGGGAGACGGGGAGACGGTTTCTACATCCAACTTGGATGTCCATGCAAATAGGTGCTTTGACAGGGAAGCCCCCTCCAGCCAAAAGGGCACAAAGGAGAAGATCACCGCCGAAGACTTGGATGTGCGTCTGTATTTGTTTTTGAGGGTGCCTTTTTAAAAGCTTGGTGAGTGGAGCCAACAGGAACACCATTTGGGCCCTTTGACACATACCCATTGGATCTTCAAGCCATGGTATGTGTCAAAGAGATTTGGAGCATTCTGGGGTTTCCCTTAGATTTCACTTTCAACCAGCCTTGAACAGGTACCCTCAAGCCCACATTTCTTGGATGTTCAGCCCATGTCGTAAGGAGCTGAACATGGTTATAAGGCGCCTAGCAGACTTGACTAACTCCAGTTGCCCAGTCTTCTCCATGGCCAAGTGGGTTGAAAGTGTTTGTAATGCCCCGGGAAGTTGAACTCCACAAGGGAATCGATTAGGTCATTTGAATGGTAGGTCCAGAAGCTGTTCGTGTGCTTTTCCGTCTCTGCGTTTTGTTCCGGGGCATGTGTCACAAGTAGCAGCCCCATGAAACGGCCTTGATTTCCTGGCTGTTTCTTTCAAGGCAATCTCCAGCAGAGTTCCCAGAACGAATCTAAAGGTACTTAATTTGCTTGCGTAATCCTTGGCCTTTGTAAGGATCAGGGAGCATTTGTTTCGTTTCAATTCCCGTGCCAGAGTCTCAGACGGTGCCCTTCTTGGCGTTTGGCAGCACCAAGTATAAAGTCACCTAGAGGTGAGATCTGATGTCATAGCAATTGCGGGCCAACGGAAGGTTGCAGTTCTTAATGGTCCACGATAACTCCGAGATTCGCGCATCAATCATAGTTTCTATACGGCTGTGGCTCCCTTTGTCATGGCTACGATACCTATATGGATGTTCCAGCATTGTGTGAACCCTTTTTGGACGGCCCTGAAAGGGCAACCAATGGGAAACCACCCATGTTGGTCGTGTCCCCCGGTTCGGATGAGACCAATGGCATTGGGGCGGGGGCGTTCCTGTTTCCCTACCATCGACAATGACTCCCCGAGGAGCGTGTTTTCCCACAGCGTGTCTGATTCCCATTCTGGGGAGACAACAAATATTGACCATGGCTCATAAGGCAATGAATTTCCACCTACATGATGTCCACCAATGGGTACCTAATTAAGATTTATGCTCATATGAGCAACGGACAAATGGGCCATGGTGACCTGGCAGGTTGGGTATTGCTGTTGGCTAGGCCCCTATCGCTTGCTCATCACTCTTTCCTGATTCGGAATCGACTCGCACCAAAAAGCCACTGCAGCCGAGTGACCAGTGATGTTGGGCCTTCTCTGGGCTCCCCTTGGCTCCGAATCGGTATTGGAACAAAGGGGCTTCACTGCGAAGGATTTCCAAACGTGAGTGCTTCCGGAGTCACTAAGTTCCTTTTGATGTTTGAAGATGTGGGGGGTTCATGGCATTTGGGCAAAAGTAGTCAAATCTAAATGGATTGCACTGCTTAAGAAGGGATGCCCTGGTTGGAATTGGTCACCCAAACATGGGTGGTGTTTTTTTCGGGCCACATTTGAGGCGTATTCTTCTGATGTTCACTCTGCTTCCCTTGACGGGCGTGGGCATCGGTCGGCTGAGCCCCTTTTTCCGTCATTTCGAGTATTCAGATGTATGATGATGATGATGATGATGATGATGATGATGATGATGATGATGATGATGATGATGATGATGATGATGATGATGATGATGATGATGATGATGATGATGATGATGAGGATGAGGATGAGGATGATGATGATGATGATGATGATGATGATGATGATGATGATGATGATGATGATGATGATGATGATGATGATGATGACGACGATGATGATGATGATGATGATGATGCTGATGATGATGATGATGATGATGATGATGATGATGATGATGATGATGATGATTCTATCAGTACCTTCCCCATTCTTTCTAGGGATCCTTCTTTCTACAACACCTCCTGAAACCCAGGGAAAACGGCTGGTTTTGGAAAAGAGCGATGCTTGAAAATAATGGGGAAGCAAGCCCTAGAATGATGATGAATCGATTGAAAGGGCGCACAAACAACATTTTTGTCTACATTGTCAACTTTTAAGATGGACATGGACTGCCGTAATTCCATGTCGATAAAATGATTAAGATTGCCCCCCCCCCCCACCCGAAAAAAAATAGGGCGGGTCTGTCCTCCGAAGATGAAGCCTGGCGTGAGGAAAGACAGCCAGGGAGAACTGCCCGAGCTGAAGTTTTGAACGGCGTGTGAGGCTGCAGCATCATGCACCTTCTGAGGAGCGCTTGCTTCATGGGAGGGTTGTTCCAAAAGGAGATGCCCTTGGATCATTTCGTAACCTCAGGGCCCTTTCTCTTTGAACAACTCATGGAGTTGGGCATGGCATTTGATGGCAAATTCACGTCGTTTGATTTCCCCATTAAAACCCTTGGATTGAGTCTCCTCGAGGGAAAGTCAAAAAAACAGTCGTTCCCCAGATTCAAAGGAACCCATGAAGAAGGCTCCCCCCAAACAGCTGGAAGAGCGAATCATTAGGGCCCCTGGGTTCGCAGAAGCCTAAGAACCCCGCCCAAGCAGCTTCCAAGTGTCTTGTGTTTGGCATTTGGTCTTTGGTTGTTTCGCCAAAAGTAACAGGGCTCCTTAAAAGATACATTTTGCCCATTTGAAACCTGGTTTTTTCCACCAAAATAAAGGGCAACCACCATTTAGAAGGCAATGTTCAGGTGTATAATGTAAGGATCCCTGTGCAAGGCTTTCATGACCATCCTCTTGGTGCTTCGGACCAAGCCGATTCTGCGCCCCCGTGCCGTGCAACTCCGCCTTTTTTCAGTTGAACGCCACCCCCTTGGGGGGTCTTGGGGGATGGGGCCCTTGTTTTCCTTGGTCTGTTGAACTTGCTGCTGGGAATCAAGATGGGTTGGAAAACGTTAGGAGGAAAACACTCCACTTCGCACCAGTTGGGTTGGATGAAGCCCTATAAATACCAGGATAAACAGCTACTACCTGGTGCCTGGCAAGGATTTTGTCCATCCACAGGTCAGTTGAAGCCTCAACTGAATCGAAGAGCCTCAGGTTAAACCTTGGAAGATACCCAGTTGGAAGGCGAGTCCCATGGGAAAATAGGTACCCAACAAAAACTTGCGTTGCTTCCAGTTGTCAACCAAAGCCCAAGGGTACAGCAGCAACTGTTGGGTCTAGGAACAAAATTGCACCTTGAGGCCTTCTAGAGTTTGGATCGGCCCAAAAAAAGGCCCCCCAGTTCTAAGAGTCTTGAAGTCTCCTCCCCCAGTAGTGCCCTTTCTCACCCCTTTTTTGGGGGAGGGTGAGACTACAGAAAAAGAAACGGAACCCTTATTCGAAGCTCTCTACTGGAGGACCTAGTTTAAGTTTAAGTTTGATTGACTGAAGCAGAACCCAAAGACTTTTCATTTTCGGTGCACCCTGTGCCAAGTGAGCCACAAGCAAAACCCAGGTAGATGAAGGTTAGTAAGGGGCAGTCCCAGCCAGAAATAGTTGCGGCCGCCTTCTCAATTCTTTACATGGTGGGTAGACCATTTTAATACCGGGTTTTGATTGTGACTCAAGTGCATCGAGATGGATCCCCCAGCCCCTTTCCCTTTGAGGATTCTGGCTGGCCCCATAGCGAGCTATGAGGTGGCCAATCCCCTGACGACTTCCATTTGCCGGTCTCAAAACGTCAGAAACTGGACTTGATTTGTGGTCTCCTCAAGAATCTGTTTCACATTTTAGAGGATCTATGACCATCTAAACGGCGGTTTGTTTCCCACAGAAGTCAAGCGTTTTGGGATCATTTTGGTCGCGGCAGCCCACAAACAGCTCTGCCAAAAGCTGAGAGCCAAGACCTCGGTGGCCTTTTAAAGCTTCATGCTCTGCAGTGATATGGGGGGTTATATCAATATTCCTAACCTCCAAATGACCATATCATAATTTTTGGTGGTGTTCCCCAATGGTCATCCCGTGTAAAGGACCTTTTGATCAAACCCCCCATCTAAATAACACATAAGCAGAATTGCACATATATATATATATATATATATATAGTTTTTTTGGGGGTGTTTTTTGGGGTTCCGTAAGGGAAACCTTACCACCATGCGTCTGCAAATTTCTTTGGGACAGGTTTTTGGACCGCCAATGGAAGCTTGAGACTCGTGGCACCCAAAGTCCTAGCTCGGGATCCGCGTCTCAGGGGTTCCCGGTGATCGAATCATGGGCTCTGGGCGCTTGGCTCATCCGTGGCTTCCACAACTTGGATGGCCAGTTGCGGGAAGATCTCCGGAAGTAGATGGCTCAGTGCCAAAGACTCTTGCAACGAACACGGCGCCATCTTTCAGACTTGGGACAAAAAGTGGGACAACTTGGCGATCTAGACGTCGATTGCGCGCCCAGTGCCAGCGAGAGCAGCACCTTGCGAGCTCAGCACAAAGTTCAGCACCCCTTCCGATTTGGTCGGAGGGAAGGTGCTCGCGAGAGCCCCAAGCAACCCCCTCCGATTTGTTTGGAGGTGGGAAGGTGCTAAGGAGTTTCCCCTTTTTGGTTCACAAGTGGACCTGTTTGCGGGTCCGAACAAACCGGGAACCAAAGGGTCACCCTAAATGAGAAACGAGCATGTCCAGTGCGAGGAAAGTCTCTAGGTGATCAAGCAAGAGCAGAAATGTGTTTGAGTGTCCTTTGGTTTCCTTTCTTTTCCCGTCACCAAGTACAATTGACTCCTACCTCCCTACCCGTGCCAGGGTCTTTGCCTGTGAAAGAAATCATTTGGTTGGGCCCTGATACAGACAAGGACGACAACCACCAGAATGAAGGCGTGAGTAAGTACATGCAGAATAGCCCACAGAATTATTGATTTCCCCTAAGGCAACCAACAGAGGATAAATCACTTTGTTATCTTTGCGAGGCCCTATTGTGCACCAGGATAAATCCAGATAAATCAATGAGTCATCCAGTGCTTGCAGTCACTACCATAGGCAACCACGTCATGCAAAGCCCGGAGGTAAGACACTCAGGTTACCTATAAAACGCCTGGAAGCACTACGTAGATCAGTCAACAGATTCAACGGTGTGTTTGTGTTTGTGTGTGTGTGTTTTTTGAGGGTACAAGTGTGGTGCCCATGTTGCAGGGAAACGAACGGGAACAACATCTTTTGGGGCCCCTATTTTAAGAGACAGCCACCAAGTGCCTCAAAGAAACCATCTCTCTCAGTGCTGGTCCGTTCTCTGCCCCGCGGTCCATCCGCCTCGATGCCCCGCCTGCTGATACGCAGCTGGGCATAACATCGCCATCGCCGAACCGAAGGCTGTTCAGCTTCATCTGCGCCGCAAGATTTCCCCGCGACAGCCCGCCATGTCAGAACTCGTTGTCTCACGAATTTCTCCACAACAAGTTTAAAATATATCAATCTTACACTAGACCACAGACTATTTCAACAACGAAATGACCCAGCATCACCTCGTGGGCGAACTAGCTCGAGTTGGATGGCTTAAAGCATCAGCTGAGGTGAGTTTCCGTGTTGTGATGCTGGTGATGTTTCTGTCTATTTAGGGCAGAATGAGCTTATTATGGTTTAGGTCTTTTACTTGGGATCCCGCATTGCATGTTTTGAAATTATATATTGTTACGATTGCAGATACTTAGGTGTTGGGCAAATCTAAACAGTTGTTATAAACCCAGGTTACAACCCGCTTAAGTTTACTTGGTTGATCCTAGCTAACCACGTACTACGTGGGTTTTCAACCAACCTAGTGGCTTAGTGGGTTCTAGCCATGTTTAATGGGGGAAGTGAGGTTAGTCCCCGGCAAAAAAAACATATAACCCACTTTAGGGGAAATCTGGAACCGCCCGCACACCGCATCGCTCCGAAGGAGGGGATGCCGACTCGACAAAACGCGCAGATCGCGAGCGTTGAATTGGCCCGAAAATAGCCCGAAGGAGCAGGGCTCCTTAAAAGATCTCCATTTTGCAACCGTTTGAAACATGTTGCTTTTTCCACCAAAATAGAGGGACACCACCATTTACAAGGCAATGTTTAGGTGTATAATGTAAGGATCCCGAAGAAGGTTGCTCAGCACATTTGACAGCTGTTGGGGTCCAACATGATGTTCTTGTCGTAATTTGCGCCCGAAAGGAGGCTCCTCAGCATGAGAGTTTGGGGTTCCATGAGGTGCGGCCAAACGTGCCAGACATCTATGGTCAATCTGGGAGAGACATGTGGGGCGGCGTGGGAGTCACTGAACTTCCCACAAAAAACAAGGGGGACGCGCCCAAATATCCCATGGCCTCTTGGGGAAGCAAGTGACTTTGGATCATGCATGCCACGTTCAAAAGACACGCAAACAAATAGTGGTTAGGATGGTCTTAGGGTCAGTTTAGACGATGTAAAGGTTCCGCTTACAGGAGCCATGACCGAAGTTTTGACATTGGCGCACGTGACCATGAGGAAATCCTTTTGCAAAGGGCACTTTCACTCGATTCCATCCAGTCGCTGCGGACACTCAAGAAACCCCCTAAGCTGCGATCTCTTTAAAATTGTTTTTGCACGTGTTTAAAGCTCACTAAATACTTGATCCAGAATCACGCATGTTGTTTGGTTGGGGGCACACGCTGAGGTAAAAGTGAAGAAACTCCCCTTTGTACCGGGGTGAAAAGTTACACCCAATTGGAATGAGGCCGGCTAGTCCCCGGTTGTGCGAAGGGGAAGTTACGTGGGGAGTTCCTTGTTTGCTTTCGGAATCCACCGAATCACGGAAGCGGAACCCATGCCCCACAGCTCCGCCGCATGCAGCGCAGTTGGCCTGTTGAACCCCTTGCCCGAAAGTACCAGGCTGATTTGGGATGGTCGAATCCCTGCGCTTCATCCCCAGATCAAGTGAAAAATGCGGAGAGACCCCGGCAGGGCCTCAACTACGCCTCAAAGCTTCGAGTGCCTTTGTCCGGCTCAAGCTTTTCCACTGAGAAGGCGTTGGAGCAGCTGGGTTCCATGAAAACCCTTGGACAAGAACGAGCTCACCGGGTAAAACAAGCTCACCTAGGAAGGTTGTGTAGGGGATCTCTCAATTCTGAGTGCTGCCAGAGGCGTTTTGTGTTTCTTTTGCTTAATGTTCCTAGGGGATTTCATGGCAAGCTTCGAGAAAAAGCGTGTTGCAAACAATGTGCCAATCCACATGTCAGCCCAACTCTGCACGAACACTTTGGAAACATGGGATTGTTTAAGGGCGCCCAGGAATTGCGGAAGTGCAATCAGGAAAACAGTTGACACCATACCACCACTTGGAGGTCCCCTCATCCTACAACAATCCTAATGTCAACATTTCCTGGCAGACGCCTAAGATGGCAGCACCCTCAAATCCAACCAATTGTGTTTTTTTCGATCCAAAATCTGGGTGCCCCAAGCATCATGAGACCCTCCATTGGAGGGGGGAAAGCGGATTTCGCTGGAAGCTTCGAAGGGGGCCGTCCCTCACCTCCTTCCAGTTCCAAACTGCATCATGGAGAACCTACAGAATCCTTGTGCCGAAACGATGGAAGCACTGGGTCACATCACCCCATTTCCGTCCCAAGCTCCCCGTTGGTGCCGCCCCCTTTGGGGGCGGGGCGCCTGGAAGCCATGCGAGCGCCCAGTACGCAGGTGACGCGTCTGGCCAAGGACTGGCGAGCTCACGGGGTATAGCCATGGTCCTTTTGCTTGGCTCCAATTGGCAGCGGGCCAAAAATGTGTCCCAAAGTGGAACCCTGGTAAAAGGAAACATGGACTAATATTTGCGGCCCTGGTGGTTCAATTTTGACCCATACCCAATTCTTGTTTCAAGTTTCGCAATTGCAAGAATTGCAGATCTTGACACCTCAAATTTGGGCCTTGAGATCCAAACCCTTCCAATGCCATGGAGCTCCAGACCCCGGGTCCAAAGCGTGTGGAAATGAACGGAAGGAACCTCATTTGAACACATGTGAGTGGAACACTTCTCAAGATATATTATAATTACAGGCACTATTCTCCTATGACTTATTGTGGTTGTACGAGACCAAAACATACCTCCTTCAAAATATTTGGCATATACAAGGCCGAAGCCCCTCGCTGAACTTCGGACATGGCCTAAAGGAGAGGTTTTTTCCAAAGCCCAGACCTTAGGGGGAAACTGGGTTCCCGTAAGCCGCTCGCCTCGATGGGAAGGAAGACCACGTGAGTTGAACCGAACACATGGACCCTTTTGCCAACCCACTTGGATGTGTAAGGGGATTGTTCAGGAAACTCGATTTTTAGGACAGGTGGCGAAACGTGAAACGGACCATCGAGCCTACATTTCGTTAGGGACTATAGTAATATATATATACATATGGTACCCCCCCCCCCCCCCCAAAACCTAGGTTTTGTGGGGTGGGGGGGGGGGGAGGTCAGCACACTGGTAAATTATGCATAACAAATTGTAAAAAAAAAACATGCAAAAATGCACGTGTTTTCCATTTATGCAGTGAGCACACAACTCCAGAAACATGCATTTGTCCTGCACAAAATGCATGTTTCTGTAGAAACTAGAGCAACAACCCAGGAAACATGAGGATTTTTCTATTTTGGTAGTAAAATAACAGAAACCAAGCAGAGTAAAACAATAAAGCAGTAAACAAGTAAACAAGTAAAATATCTGGACCCATGAAAAGTAAACAAGTAAAAAGTAAAAGTCAAAAAG